GGAGCTTCTTTACAGGATGAACAGAGAAACAACAACACTTTTTCAATCCAGAACCTAGATAACCCCAACCTCTGTCACCAAGCTGCATGTTCATGGGAATTTATTGCGTGTAATTATATTCCAAGGGTGAACCTGCCACAGGCTGATGTGAGGCTCTACATGCCAGAAACACTGACTATTCCCCCAATGCTACCCATCATTGGGAAATTGAAATTTTTGCATCATGACTATTGAATTAACCCCACACGCCATGTTGCATACAAATTAGGAAAAGTAAGCCTCTTGGTCCCTTGAGACTGTTTCACCATTTGATATGTTGAATGTTGTAGCTTCAACTCCACTTTCCTGCTCACTCCTCGATAACGTTTTGACTCCCTTGTTAGTCAAAAACCCATCCACCTTTGCCTTAAATAGATGAAATGAGTCTACTTCCATCACACCGAGAAAGACAGCCCCAGAGATATCACCCACAGTAAAAAAATCCTTCTCCTCATCCTTGCTTTTAATGGGAGACCCTCTTATTTTCATCGTAGTCTTCCTATTTCCCCCTTTTGTTTTGGACTTCATAAAATTCCCTCCATTAGTGTAAAACCAGTTGGATGCTGATTAGTTCATAAAGGTTCTTGAGGGGTACTTGAGCAAGACCACCACATACTCCAACATCTGCCTAGCAGTGTTGGATTGTCTTCACCTGCTTCCGCGAGGACAGCCAGAAGTTCTCTCTCAATGGCTTTTCGTTCAGCCCCATGCCATTTATGAAGAATCAAATTGAACTCAAATGTTCAACTTTTCTTCTCTCTCCATGGATGTTTCCAAACCTGCTGAGCATTTCCAGCAATATCTGTTTTTAGCACCAAAGCTCACCCTGAGTTAAGCCTTAGTCTCTGTCCTATTTCTCATCTATATGCTGCCCCTTGGTAATAGTATCTGAGAGCATGGTATCACATTTTATCTAGGCTGATGGCACCCAACTCTACCTCGTGATCATTTCACACATAACCCTTTCACCAGTTCTGATTTGGGACATTGCTAACCCAACATCAAGTACTGGATGAGCTGAAATTTGTAGTTAAAAACGGGGAATACCAAAACCATTGTGTCCAGCCCTATTATAAACTCAGCTACTGATTCAAACCCCTGCCATCTCGGGCTGAATTACACCACTTAGAAATTTTTGCATCCCATTTATCTCTAAACCGAGCTTCTCAGTCTATATCGTTTTTTTGTCAGGCAGATTGAATATATTCACTAACCTAACGTGCGAATCTTTACTCTTTCCTTCGCCCCACCATTGGTGGCTGTCAAATCAGCTGTGTAGACTCTAAGCTCTAGAATTGCCTCCCCAAACCCCTCTACTTCCCTCTCTTTCTCAAAGGTGCAATAAACCCTAGCTTGTTGACCAAGCTTTGGGAAACGTCCCAGTCTTTGACCCTGTACTTTTCTTGTAAGATTGGAAAGGTACAACCATAAGTGAGAAGTAAAATAAGAACTTCAATATATTTTACACCATTCACTACCCAAAGAGTTTAACAATTAATGAAGCACTTTTCAGTGTAGTCACTTTTCTATTGAAGGAAGCATGGAATCCAATTTGTGCATACCAAGCTTCCACAACTGCTATATTGCCAGATAATTTGCTTTTTGTGAGTTGATTGAGGGAAAATTATTGCCTAGAACACCAATATGACACCTATCTGGTCTGCTCTTTTTGCCACCAGTCTGCAGTCCCCTCTTTGTTGTTCCAAATTCTAGAACTGTGCCTTACATTCTTTCCTCCTACCACTGTTTAATACACATTTACCGCTTTGATTAATGTGCGATTTCCAGGCTTCAGTACAGTTTGGTTGCTGCCCCTTGTAAAATTGCTCTGTGCAGCCCATTGGTGTCAGGGGTACAATTTGCCCTGAATAGAATGAATGCAATTGCAACATCAGCCTATGACAAAAGCACATGTAATTGCATGAGATCTGTCTGTGCAAAAACAAATTTACATTGCTAAAAATTAAAAATAAACTGCACTTTTGTAGTTTCCAGCCTTTTCCTGACAAAAGTCTGCATTCAGCATGCATGTTGCACTCGTTCTCTACTTTCTTTTTAATTTAATGAGTGTTAAATAACTGAAGCAAGGTTCTGGGGTGGTGGGGGGGGGAGTCGTGTTGGATTAGATTGTAGATTTACGCTGAAAAAATAGGCCAAATTTGTGGTTTGCAATTGTATTGTTAGTGCCTCCAAAGATGAAGGACTTTTCTCTCTCCCTGTCTCTTTTCCTCCTCTCCCTTTTGCACTTCCGAATTGACTCTTATTTATGGAAATGAAGAATATGAATTGATGGAATGGTTATGTGATGGCTGGGGAAGGTTGTTTTTCAAAGGGTGAGGCTTAAATCACCTGTTTGTAAGATACTGTAAGTGAAGCTGCAAAGAGAGACAAAGGCAGAGAGGGAGAGAGTGGGGGAAGGGAGACTGCCCTCACCCAGGATGCCTTGCGCCTGAGTGTCCCAGTGTAGCGCCATGTTGTAGAGAAAGAGGGATCGGAGAAGGGGCCGCAATCCGCTGCAATCCGCCCTCTCTGCCTGTGAGTATCCCCGCCCGACCCCACCAGTCGACAGTTTAGACACCCGGCGATCCGCCGGGCCCGATATGGAGGGGCGGCGGGCGGGTGGAGGGGGGGAAATCGGGCGATTAGCTTTCCTCCAGCGCCCCTTTCTGCCCAGTATTTTGGACTCGGGGGCCATTGTTGTAGTGTGTGTGTGTGTGTGTGTGTGTGTGTTTGTATAGGGCAGTGATGGGGTTGGGGGGGGGGGGGGGAAGTATAAACAGCATTGTAAACTAATGGTGCGGGGGTGTGGGAGTGGGGGGGGGGGGGGGGGTGGTGGGGAGGGGGGGGGGGGGGGGGGATGTGGGGGTGTGGGGGGGGGGTGTGAAGCATTTTTTTTATTAGGGAGGAAAGGGGGTCATTTTCAAAGCTCGTCCACCCCCTGCGCGAAGCCAGATGGTTAAAGTTTGCGAAAATGTGCTGCTCTCAATTATTCCAGGAAACGAGGCTTTTACAATGGGGAAGGAAGGCTAGTTTCAATGCATGAAATACCGAGCTTGTTTTCATAATTGCAACACCAGTCGAAATATTTGTTTACTTGTTTTAAAAGCTTGAAATATGGATTTGAATCAAAGGGATTGTGAAATGTGGGTTGTGTGTGTGTTCGGTGTGGAGGGCATTGCACTTGTGTAAAACTAAGATTTGTGTTGAGCAAAAGATTATTGCGTTAAGTATATGTTGCCACTGATTACACTTCCCAAGATTTTTTTGTTCTTGGTTGTAATTAATTATTTGCCGAGAAAACGAGCAGTAAAGATTGTCAAATGGAGGAAATAAAACACTTTGCTAAGTTATAATTTCCACGTTTTTAACGCTGAATATTGAAATTCGCGAAAGCTAATTTGTGTCAGGATCAGTTGCATTCAGTATTACAGCAGGAAAATAAGATCTGGTATTGTCTAAGATTCAGATGTTAGGCATTTTTTTCTCCCTTTGTAGGTGTTGGTGCAGCCCTGCCAGGCCTGTAATTAGGAAAGTTGTATGGTTTCTGCATATGTCCCAACTGTAGCTGTTCGTGAAGCAGACGTTGGATTTTAATGAGAACATTTGGTTCTATTTTTTGCTTTGCATACTTTCAGAGGATGTATATTCTGTACAAATTGGTGAAACAATTTTTCTACATAATTCAGCTGAGAATAGTAGTTATCCACAAATGCATTTTGATTAGACAAAAAAACTCAGTTGAGTAATTTCTTATTGATGTAATTGTGCAAAGAAAGTGGCATATTGTTTTGTTGAAAATGATGTGTGGAATAACTGGACTTGATTAGTTAGCTGCTAGAATTCCATTCATCCCTGTTTTAATATTTTCTTTATGCTGGGGTTCATGTTCCTTGTCTTTGTGACTGTGGATCAGAAGCACAGTTGACGAGGGTTGTGAGTTACACAGAATTAAGGAAAGCTTGTTTTTAATCAAACTACAATTTAACACCTTCCAGTTAGTCTAGTGTTCAGACTTTGTGTATTTTTAATAAATACATGTTCAGACATGTGGATGTTGATATGAGGTTGCAGGTTTATCTGCTATTCAGAAGCAAAATTTAAATAATATTTCTATTTGCTAGACATGACAAAATAATTGGGCAGCCTCGAAAATTTTGAAGTAAGAGCAGAATATCCTCTGTCTAATACTTTTTACACAATATGCATTTCGATTTCTGATCTAGGCCTGTTTGTCTTTGCATCTCTAGATTCTGCAGTGCCAAGGCACATGCGGTGTGGGGGGTTGGGGGGAGTGCTGATGCTGCATGTTCAGTGTTCGTCAGATACCATTGCTCTGTTTTATATTTTCACGTTAATTCATAAACTTGGACTTGGGAACATGGATAATGGAGACCGAGGATTACTTTGTCATGTGCTATTCCAAAGGAGTAATTAATTTTAAAAGAATCATCTGACACGTGCCCCTGAATTTTATGCGTTACGTTTTTATTTTATGTTCTCAAGTACGTTGCAACACATGAACTGTTTTGAGGGGGATTCACGTGGTGTTCAAAACCATTTTTATGAATCTTAGTGCAGTTCAATTCTGTTTTCTTTTTGTTAGTGTACGTATTGATTTTGGAATGTTCATGTCATAATTTTTGAAAACATAATATCTGTGAAATAAGGGGGAAGAACCTTTCTGTTCATTGTCATGTTTTCATGGAATCACTTTTAAATTGACAGTGTTTTCAAAGACTTGGAGGAATTTGGGGCAGGATTTGCATGTTGAAGTGCGGTCAATTCCTATTTTCAGAGAAACTTTTTCAAAATTAGTGTCCATTTTTTGGGGAGGGTGATGGAACTTGAATTTTAAATGCTCATGAAACAAAAATAAGATGTTGTTCTTCATGCACTTTTAATGCTTGCAATTTAAAATACTTTTGCTTTATCGTTTGTTTTGTTTTACAGGTATAGGTGGAATGGTTGTTCCCTGTGTTTTTAAGGTATGAATGAAGTGCTCTGGCAGGACTCCCTCCCCCAGCAGCAGTATCAGCAGCCGCCACCACCGCAGGACAGTTTCGGTAACAGCGTCGCTCACAGCATGCCCGTGGTGTTAACAGGACCCTCCGCTGCCGGCCCCCAGCAGCAGCAGCAACAGCACGCTGCCTCCCAGGCGCTGGCCACTGCCTCGGTCTCCACGCAAGGCCCCGGCTCGATGGGGCCTCCAGTGCCAGTCGTGGTACCGGCACTTGCACTGGCTGCGGGCCGCTCGCAGGACGATGCCATGGTGGATTATTTCTTCCAGCGGCAGCCCGGGGAGCATCTGGGAGGAGGAGGCAGCAGTGGAGTCGCTGGGGGTGGTGGCAGTGGAGGTGGTGGAGGAGGAGGTGGAGGCGGTGGTTACAATGGGAAGCATCGCTGGCCAACAGGAGACAGCATTCATGTTGAACATCACCAGGTCAGTGCCTGTACTTTAGCTTGCCAAGCATCCGAGACATTTACCAGATGCTTACCTTTTAAGTTTGTGCATCCGAGAGTACTTTGCAGGCAACAAACACTTGGATTTGCATCTTGGTTGATCATGTTCAATTGCTGCTATGAAATTATTTCTAACTTCATTCTTCATTTGGGAATTCATGGACATGAGCCCCAGTCAAGGACTTGTTTTGACATATATTCAGTCTACAGTAGAGAAACAGACCATTTGGCCCAACTAGTCCATGCCTGTGTCTTTGCTTCAAACAACCCTCCTCCCACCTCTAATTTTTTATCTAATCCTGTTGACATTACTACTTTCCCTAACATCTGTTTATCTTGCTATCTCTTTTGCTATTTACAGCAGCTACTGCTTGTAGTAGTGAGTTCAGTATTCTAGCTAGTTTCTGGTTTATGTTTCTTCTGAATTTCTTCTAGAAGTTATTGGTCGCAATTTCTTTGGACTATCTTTTCAAACTTGTCCAGAGTCTCAAATAACTTTCTAACAAGTTGCCTTTTACACTTCCTTTTCTATAGTAGAGAGCCCAAACCTGTCCAGTTTCCTTCCGGTATTACCCTTGTCGATTTTCAGTGCCTCTCTTTTTAGAATAAGATGACCAGAGATGTTCTTTAAAAATACGTTTAGGAGTACTGGAGTCAGAATGGCTGCTACTTCAATAACTGTAATTTGCATTTATTTTGTATGTGACATTTTGATTGAGATGTTAAACTTGGAGTGAAAAAGGAAGGACCTTGTGATACTGTTCAAGGAAGAGCAGGGGAGTTCCAGCCAACACGTGCCATTTAATCCACTACGTGAAAACCGGTCATTTTATTGCTTTTTGAGTGAGATGTTACTGTGCTGCATGTCACTTAATGGCGCTCACATTCAAAGATATTCATTGCTTGCAAAGCATTACAAAAGACTCTGAATCTTGAATTGTTGCATGTGAATTGTATCGTAAGCACTTTTGAGTACTTTACCAAAGTAGTAGTTCTTCATGTGCAACAGTAGTGATGGACGGTGGGAAGTTGTGGTCTAAGTGAATTCCACCTTCATCCAATGTGTGCATTTTTATGGCAGGATTCACTAGGTGGAGATGAAGAGTGAAAAATTCTTGCTGCATTCTTTTTAATCCACCTATTGTCACTCAGTCAGAATCTTGAAGTTTCTGTCAGCACAAAGACAGGACTTGCTGAAAAAGAAGTCTAACCATCAACATCTCAATAATTAGGGATATATAATAAATGCCTGGCATTGCCCACATGCCAAGAACAAATTTAAAAATAAATGCACACAGAAGCTGTGGCAAATTGAATTCTTCCTTCAACACCACCCTGGTTGAGATAATCAAACTGAGCAGAGACCAAATGCCTAATGGCATTTTAACTTGGTTAGCACTAGTTGAACCACTTAAATAGGGCACATCTTTTGAATACAAACTTAGTTTTTCCGTGCTAAGTAAGTAAATAGTTGTTCAAAATCTGCTTTTCAGTTTTGTAGAAGGGCTGTAGCTGCTGTAAATGTTGCCTTTTGTAATGAATAAAGGAGCATTTCTCTCACACTCACTCTCTCACTCTCACTCTCACTCTCTCACTCTCACACTCTCTCTCACTCTCACTCTCTCACTCTCACTCTCACTCTCACACACTCACTCTCACTCTCACTCTCACTCTCTCTCTCTCTCACTCTCACTCTCTCTCTCTCTCTCTCTCACTCTCTCTCTCTCTCTCACTCTCTCTCTCTCACACTCACACTCTCACACTCTCACACTCTCACACTCTCACACTCTCACACTCTCACACTCTCACACTCTCACACTCTCTCACTCTCTCACTCTCACTCTCTCTCTCTCACTCTCACTCTCACTCTCTCTCACTCTCTCACTCTCTCACTCACTCTCACTCTCTCTCTCTCACTCTCTCTCACTCGCACTCACACTCTCACACTC